GTTGGTGGATCAGTTGGTGGGTCAGTTGGTGGATCAGTTGGTGGATCAGTTGGTGGCTCAGTTGGTGGATCAGTTGGTGGATCAGATGGTGGGTCAGTTGGTGGATACCTTGGTAGGTCAGTTGGTAGATCAGTTGGTGGATCAGTTGGTGGCTCAGTTGGTGGATACGTTGGTGGATCAGATGGTGGGTCAGTTGGTGGATACCTTGGTAGGTCAGTTGGTAGATCAGTTGGTGGATCAGTTGGTGGGTCAGTTGGTGGATCAGTTGGTGGGTCAGTTGGTGGATCAGTTGGTGGGTCAGTTGATGGATTAGTTGGTGGGTCAGGTGGTGGATACGTTGGTAGGTCAGTTGGTGGGTCAGTTGGTGGATCAGTTGGTGGGTCAGTTGGTGGGTCAGTTGGTGGGTCAGTTGATGGATCAGTTGGTGGGTCAGGTGGTGGATACGTTGGTAGGTCAGTTGGTGGGTCAGTTGGTGGATCAGTTGGTGGGTCAGTTGGTGGATCAGTTGATGGGTCAGTTGGTGGATACGTTGGTAGGTCAGTTGGTGGATCAGTTGGTGGATCAGTTGATGGGTCAGTTGGTGGATCAGTTGGTGGATCAGTTGGTGGGTCAGTTGGAGTTCTTACATGTTTCAGTTCGAACAGAAGTTTCCTTGTCAGCTCTATTCGTTTCTTGTTGATGTATTTAATGGCGGCCAGGTTCCCCTGTAGGAACAAAATTAATTATTCATGAGATCATCATGTTACGACATCATCAGTGGGTGGTGTCAGCTGGTGTCAGACCTTATAGTATCCAGTCTTGGTGTAGATCTGGAGGTTTCCCTCCATCGTCATCAGAGAACCGTAGTTAGATCCTTTCTGCACAGAATCGGGGAATTTTTATATGTTATGTTAAGTCCAAATAAAGCTAATAAAATGTCTGAGAAATAATATTAAAATGTCGAAAAGATTTAAATATAATGGCTGAAAAATGTTGATAAATGTCGGAAAAATATAAATAAAAAGCCTGAAAAATGTAAAATAATAATAATAACAAAAGCCTGAAAAATGTAAAATAGTAATAACAAAAGCCTGAAAAATGTAAAAAACAATAAAATGGCTGAAAAGGGTAAAACAAAAGTCAGAAGAAAAACCCATACATGTCTGAATAAAAGTATTACCATAGACATGGTGAGTCTACTGCAGGTTCTCCTCAGAACTTTCTCCAGGTTGCACATCTGGACATCGTCCCAGGAAACCCTCCACAGCTGAGCCGCCAGCTCACTCTCCAGCTTCAACTTCCTGTTCCACAGACAGGAAGACAGGTGTGTGTGTGTGTGTGTGTGTGTGTTGAGAGAAGGAAGAAAAGAGAGAGAAAGGTGAGGGAGAGGATAAACAAGATGGACAGAAGGACAGACAGATAGATCTGTTTGCCGTTAATGCCTCGTCCAAGCTGAGAAGTTCACACAAATGTTTCGACACTGTTTTCAGAATTCATTTCCTGTTGCCATCTTGGTGACAGGAAATGAATTGTTGTAAATGAAAAATACTAATAAAATGTAAAAAAAAAAAAAAAAAAAAAAAGTCAGAAAATATTCTGAAACTGTTCGAAAAAAGTTGCTGAGAAAATGTCAGAAAAATACTTAAAAAATAGTTGAAAATTGTATTAAAATCTCTGAAAAATATAATAAAATGTCTAAAGAGGAAATTCGGAGTTCATGTTAAGAAACCATTTGACTGGCCAACATTAGTTGATTTATTGATAGAAAACATTACACAGAGCAGACACAGAGAAACACTTCATTCTAAACCAATGAGATCATACAGAAATCATTTCATCATCTTCACCGCCATGATGATGATGATTGTCATCAAACGTCTTAACATTAACATGTTGGTGGTTTAAAACTACGTTTATAGACCTGCAGAGAAGCTGCGACTGTCTGAAGTCCAAAGCGTCAACATGTTATTGTCTCATATTGTTTTTTGTCCTCCATGTTACCAGTTGATTTATGACGTTCTGTTAAAAACAAGTTTCAACAGGAAGTGAAGAATGAGAGACAGAGTTGTCTCAGGAAGGTGTCAAACACATCTGCAGTCTCAGGCATTTTGGCGAAGAGGAGGAAAAGATAAAAAGAAGACAACAGGGTCTTTATCTACACATCCTTTTTCATCCCTTCATCCTTTCATCCCTTCATCTGCGGCCTTGCTGTGATCTCTCTATTCCAGAGAGTGATGACGAACGGAGGAAAAGAGAAATGAAGGACAGGAAAAATAACAGAGACAGAGACAGAAAGAGACAGAGACAGAGACACAGAGAGACGCAGTGAAAGTCAAACCACCACAACATGTGTGTGTATTCTGGTTCATCTATCCTTGTGAGGAACAGAGTTTAACACGTAGAAGTGAGGACGTTTTAATAAAGTGAGGACATTGACACGTGTGTGAGTGTCTCCGAGTGTCTCACCTGTAGATGAAGACAGTCACTGTAACAATGATGACAAAGACAAAGCAGATCACTATGGCAACCATCTGTTGCATCGTAACTGTACCTGGAGAGGACAGAGGGACGTTAGGACAGGCAGCAAGTGTGTCTGTGGATATGTGTGTGTGTGTATGTGTGTGTGTTTGTGTGTGTGTGTTTGTGAGGACAGTCTCAACATCTGAGGACATTTGGTTGGTTTGATGTCTTCAGAAAGACAGTTGGACGCTTCAGACTTGGTTCTTACTATGATATATTGATATGTAAACTGTGTACACATAACATTACGCTGCGTTGCATTACATTACATTACGTTACGTTGCATTATGTTGTGTTTCGTCATGTTGCCTTACATTAGGTTGTGTAACATTACATTATGTTGCCTTATGTTACATTGTGTTGCATCACATTACATTATGTTGCGTTACAATGTGTTATGCTACGTCATGTTTCAACATTTGAGGACATTTGGTTGGTTTAATGACTTCAGAAAGACAGCTGGACGCATCAGACTTGGTTCTTACTATGATATATTGATGTGTAAAATGTGTACATATAACAGAGTGTGTGTGTATGTCATGTTCTTACGTGCGAGGCAGGCTGGTCCATCGTTCTTGAAGCCGCATTCTGGAACATCTGTGGGCGGAGCACCACCTGGCCAATAAAAGCTCCGCCCACTCTGCATGATCAGCTGCTTCATACTGCTGTTGTAAACACACACTACCTGCACACACACACACACACACATACACCATGTGACAAATGACTGCTGTTCATCAGGTCTGTGACATCACAGTGATGACATCATGGCTCAGGTGTTTTTACCTGGAACTCTCCAGACTCTACGTCGATGGTGTCCCACACGGCAAAGTCCATCTGTCTGTCCCCAAACTCGTCCATCTGCACGGTGCCCATCACTCCTGCACACACACACACACACACACACACAGGAACCTTTATGTGTTGCTTGGCAACAAGCCAGTTGAAGAACTATTTCTGTGGGCGGAGCCAAATAAATCATTCCGTAAACAAACACATGATTCAATAAATAAATAAATAATAACGTGTTGTCACTTTTTACTGTCAACAGGTTATTATTCATTAATTTATTTTTACAGGATGAAAACAAATCAGACGGTAAGTGGAGCTGCACAGTTTCTCTGTACACGTCACACAGCTGGGCGCAGATTTCTGTCACATGTCGGTGATGTCATCAGGTCGTGGTTATTATAAGTCCTGTGTCATAGGAAACTGGACCTGGTTGAGTTTGTTGAAGGCGTTTCACGTCTCGTCCCAGAAGCTTCTTCAGTTCTGACCGATGGTGCCGAGTCGCAGACTTTAGACTCTGTGGGTGAACACTGGTCCGTCAGAACTGAAGAAGGATGAGAGGTGAAACATCTTAAACAGACGCAGCAGGACCGGTTGCCTAGGATACAGGTCTGGTTGTCTAGGATACAGGTTCGGTTGCCTAGGATACAGGTCCTGCTGCCTAGGATACAGGTCCGGTTGCCTAGGATACAGGTCCGTTTGCCTTGATACAGGTCCTGCTGCCTAGGATACAGGTCCTGCTGCCTAGGATACAGGTCCGGTTGCCTAGGATACAGGTCCTGCTGTCTAGGATACAGGTCCGGTTGCCTAGGATACAGGTCCTGCTGCCTAGGATACAGGTCCGGTTGTCTAGGATACAGGTCCGGTTGCCTAGGATACAGGTCCTGCTGCCTAGGATACAGGTCCTGCTGCCTAGGATACAGGTCCGGTTGCCTAGGATACAGGTCCTGCTGCCTAGGATACAGGTCCGGTTGCCTAGGATACAGGTCCTGCTGCCTAGGATACAGGTCCGGTTGCCTAGGATACAGGTCCTGCTGCCTAGGATACAGGTCCGGTTGCCTAGGATACAGGTCCTGCTGCCTAGGATACAGGTCCGGTTGCCTAGGATACAGGTCCTGCTGCCTAGGATACAGGTCCGGTTGCCTAGGATACAGGTCCTGCTGCCTAGGATACAGGTCCGGTTGCCTAGGATACAGGTCCTGCTGCCTAGGATACAGGTCCGGTTGCCTAGGATACAGGTCCTGCTGCCTAGGATACAGGTCCTGCTGCCTAGGATACAGGTCCGGTTGCCTAGGATACAGGTCCGGCTGCCTAGGATACAGGTCCGGTTGCCTAGGATACAGGTCCTGCTGCCTAGGATACAGGTCCGTTTGCCTTGATACAGGTCCTGCTGCCTAGGATACAGGTCCGGTTGCCTAGGATACAGGATTGAGGAATTCTGTAACAGTTTTTAATGAGAATCAAACTTTTTGCTTCGTACCACGTGTTTCTGCTCTCGAGGCGTCTGGCGTTGTTGCCGGAGCGCTCTGAACTCCTCAAGTTGACAAAACTTCAACTCACAGCAGAAAAGCGCCCCATGTCATCTCTGCTTTTTTCCCCATTGTCTAATGGGATGATCTGAGAGGCGGGGCTTCTGTGGTGGTCATGACAACAAGTTTACAGTAAACAATGGAGGAGAAACTGGTGGTAGTGGTTGCTGGATACCCAGAGCTATACAACTCCATTCATCTGTCTGTCTGTCCGTCCCCCTCTGACGCACACGCCCGGTGATTAATGATCGCAGGCTGTGTCTGTGTGTGTGTGTCTGTGTGTGTGCTTGTGTGTGTTGTCAGTGTAATCTAATAAAGAGCAGCAGCCTGTGTTATCAACTTCATCATCATCCTCCTCCTCTCCTCCTTCTCCTTCATGCAAACAGGACACAGCTACAACCTGTCCAGTCCGTACTGGGGGGGAGAGGGTGTCAGATCAATAACCCACACACACACACACACACACACACACACACACACACACACACACACACACAGCTGTGAGTGTGTGTCTGATCACATTAGTTGGCTCCAGCTGAGTCCTGCCATCAGCGTGTCACTTCCTGTGATGGACGTCCATTTCCTGTGTGTTTTCCACACCTGCTCCCCGTCCTCTGTCCACATCAATCTATAAACAGACTCGCTGATGGTTTGACTCCACCCACCAGTGAAAACATGGACGCTTCACACACAGAAGATCTGACCAATCGCATTCAGCCTCTGACCAAGTGTCTGCCATTAAAACATGATGATGTCGACATTTTATTTAAATATATTTGCAGACATCTTATTTTGTCTGGCGTGTCCGCAGTAACCTCAGAAACCTCTCGTCTGTTTGTCTTTAAAATGTTTCTCAACTTAAAACAACACACTGACGACAGATTTAAAGTCTGAGCTGACAGACGGAGACAGTTTTATGGGACACTTGTTTTTCTGTCTCTGTTTGGGCTCCGTCCCGTCTCCTCAGTCTGAAACTAGACAGCCTGAGAGGACGAGCTCAGGGGACGGACTGTGTCCTGCAGTAACAATGCCGGGGTTGGTTTAAAGGATCAGACTTTGATGTGTCTGCTCTTCCTGGAACTGTCTCTTGCTGCTCAGCTGATAGATGACTTCCTGTCAGCTCATCTCACTTCCTGTTGTGAAGTGAAAACAATACAGAGTCCAGCTTCGCTTAGAGACGCTGAATGTCTCCGTCCAGCTGCTGTCATCCGATTATTGAGTCACATGTTTATCAGCTGTGCCTCGTCTGCTGCAGGCAACCTTCCAAACACCAAACATAACCATGGAATTCAAAATGGCCGACTTCCTGTTTGGTTTAGACAATAAGTCCAACAGGTGTTTTTGTGCGTCAGGGTGCAATATACATGCCTACCAATTTTCGTCCATGTCTGTGAAACATTCTGCAGGGTCTGCTCTTTAAAGGGCGTGGCCAATGCCGAAACTCATATGATGTGTCCAGACTGAGACTTTTAAGGAGCCCGTCAAGTTTCAGGCAGATTGGACCACGTATGCTGGAGTTACAAACTACTTCCTGTTTCATGGCAAAATACCTGTTTGACACCTCACCACTGTCGCAGGATTCAATGAAAACTCAAGCTTGTAATAACTTTTCATCGTTAATTTCTTTTGATGGAATCGGATTAAATCTCTGGCAGGAGTTTGTTAAATTACAACTCCTGGAAATGGCACCAAAATTATACAGTAAATTCAAAATGGCGGACTTCCTGTTGGGTTTAGATTACGGCTGTGCGATTGCCTCTAAATTTCATATTGTGGATTGTCATTGCTCTAGATTAAATCGCCGGGGTGGGGGTTACATCCTTGGCATGTGTCTTGCGTTGATCACTACCATGTTATTTTTGGTCGGTACCGACACAGCTGCGCAGCCGGAGACGTGTTGCTCCTCCTCACTTCAAGTCGCTGTGATTAACTTTTAACCTGCAACATTGTAGGAATTTATGAAAGCCCTTGTGAACATTTCAATAGTTACACATTAAAACAATATTTATTTGCAATTACTCTATTGAACGACCCCGAAGCATGAGCAAACGCTCTGTGTCACTTCGGATCAAAGAGATGCGCCCTGTCACTGTCAGCGCAGGGCTGACAGGGCACCCTCCACTGAGGAGAGAGAGGAGAGATGGATTGTAGGTCTGTTTGTAAACATGGCTTCTCTGACAGTCATGTATTTCCCCAAAAAACATCTCTTAATGCACAGTAGAGCACTGTTTTTTAGAAATTGTCCACTAGCTGCTAGGCTAATTTATACCATGTAAAATCCCATAGGCTTGTGCTAATGTTGTTAGCATGTTATATTTGTTTGGAAAGCAGAGAATGGCAAGTTAACATTAACTATAAGCAGCTTGTTAACTTTAGCTGTTAGTTAACGTTAGGTGTTAGCTGTCAGCAGCTAGGTGTTAGCTGTCAGCAGGTACTTAATGTTAGCTGTTAGCAGTTAGTTAACAACAGCTGTTAGCTGTTAGTTAACGTTAGGTGCTCGCAGTTAGTTAACATTAGCTGTTAGCAGTCAGTTAATGTTAGCTGTTAGCAGTTAGTTAACAACAGCTGTTAGGTGTTAGTTAACGTTAGGTGCTCGCAGTTATTCAACATTAGCTGTTAGCAGTTAGTTAACATTAGTTGTTAGCAGTTAGTTATCTGTTAGCAGTTAGTTAACAACAGCTGTTAGGTGTTAGTTAACGTTAGGTGCTCACAGTTAGTTAACGTTAGCTGTTAGCAGTTATTCAACATTAGCTGTTAGCAGTTAGTTATCTCTTAGCATTTAGTTAACAACAGCTGTTAGGTGTTAGTTAACGTTAGGTGCTCGCAGTTAGTTAACGTTAGCTGTTAGCAGTTATTCAACATTAGCTGTTAGCAGTTAGTTAACATTAGCTGTTAGCCGTTAGTTAACAATAGCTGTTAGCAGTTAGTTAACATTAGCTGTTAGCCGTTAGTTAACAATAGCTGTTAGCCGTTAGTTAACAAAAGCTGTTAGCAGTTAGTTAACATTAGCTGTTAGCAGTTAGTTATCTGTTAGCGGTTAGTTAACATTAGCTGTTAGCCGTTAGTTAACATTAGCTGTTAGCAGTTAATTAACATTAGCTGTTAGCAGTTAATTAACATTAGCTGTTAGCAGTTAGTTAACAAAAGCTGTTAGCAGTTAGTTAACATTAGCTGTTAGCAGTTAGTTA